TTAAATCTAGCGAATACAGGTAAAATTAGATATTAAAAAAAAAAAAAAAGAAAAAAAAAGTTTTAATCCGTTTTAAAATATCTAGATTTTCAAAACTGCAAGTCATCATTTTTAAATAGTAAAAATTATTTTTTTTAGCTACTAGTGTTCAGTGAGTGTTTGTTACTGTTCTGCCTATAAAATTCTTCTAAACAAGGAAAATTAATTCATTTTATTTTTACAAATATCTTTATGGTTTTATCTGGCGAATAATACACTTAAGTAAGATTATTAAAATGATTAAAATAGTTTTTAATTTCAGTTTTAAAATGTGTATGTAAAAAAGAATAGGTGATACTCAGATTTGTAAATCTACACATTCTAAAAATGAAATTAAAAGCCTTTAATTATTTTTAATATTTAATTTTAGGTGTATTTGCTAGAAAAAAAAAACAAATTTATTTAGGGGAAAAATAACTCATTGATTTTCCTTGTTTAGAAAAAATTTACTTGCAAAACCCCAATAACAGTTGACTGGGGTACCAAAAAAGAATTGTGGTTTTTTTTTGTTTTTTTTTTTTGTTTACTTTATAATTTTTGAAGGAAATCGCTTCCTTGGGTCAGAGAAGAAATGAATATCTTCCTGGTTGTAGTTTAAAGTGTCTTCTAATTGATTGTACAATTTCAAGAATATTGATAAAGATTGGAAAAAAGAAAGCGAGGAGACAGAATAGTTGTAAAACAAAAATACATTTTCATTTTTTTCTCTTTTGCTCTCTCTCTCTGTGTGTGTGTGTGTGTGTGACTTGACATTGTATTTGAAGTATTTCAATTTTCACCACAAAATCTAGAAAATCATTTTCATGCACACACAAGCTTTAACTGATTTTTCCACACCTAATGTTGGGAAAGTTTTTAACATTTCTTAGAAATTAAACAATGAAAAATGTTAAATACTGTTATGTTTTAAACAAAAGATGGATCACAATATGTACCTAAAGAAAAATAAAATAAAACACTACTATTATAAAGTCACAAGTCATCTTATAATTGCCTTCCTAACAGTAAAGTACATGTTTTCACTGGTTTTTCTTTTTCTCTCCTATTAATCTGTGGTTACAAGCCTATTGTGGTGCATAGAAATAATCAATATACAAGCACAGTGTCAAAATGAAAGTGTTGTAGCTCATTTAGTAGTGATGTTGATCCTCTAAATCATTATATTTATAGCAACACAGCTGGTTCTAAACTATCAATAGATATTTAAACCTAAATATGGTCCACCAAAGTGAGTGGAAAGTGCAGATATCAGCTGCTTCTTTGGTTAATAAACATGGATATTTTATCCCAAGAGCAGAAATTTCTCACCAAATTAATGATTTTAACAATTTGTTGTAGACCATGATATGAATATCTAAGTGTAGAATGGCTCATCTGACAAACATGTTGAATATTTAAGCAACTAACATCTACTTGCTGGGAAAGTAGAAAAAAACATTTAAATGTCAACTATAACCAGTATATCCTGCCTGGTTTTAGTTAAGTAACCAGGTTTAAAAAATAAATAAATAAAAATAAAAAAAATAAAAATATGAAGACATAAAATCTATCATGTCTAAAAATAGTGAATATGTATACACAAATAAACCAGACTGTAACAACAACCTTTTTTCTTATATATTATCCTGTGATTGAAAGCATTGAAAACTTATTTAAAGAATTAATCTGTGCTGGTAATCTGTGGTCAAATGATTTAAGGACAAAAGATATGAATAAAGACAAAAAGAAAAATTATCTTAACTGACACGTTTTGTCCTCTGAAGGACTTTATCAAGCCAAAGGATTTTATTTTGTAACAAGTATTTGTATGCAAGAGCAAAAATATTGATTTTACAAAATTAAAAGAGAATGGTTAAATTCATAACTTCATGTTATTCAAAATATATAGCACATAAATTAAACACAAACTAAAATTAGCATTAAAAAAAAAGAAAATTTTAAAACCTCACTCACTTTGATTTATTAGACACTGAATTGTATCAGTTTGTGTCCTGACTTTTCAGCTAACCTGATGAATAAATATGAGTGTTCCTAGACTTAAATTTTATTTTTTAAACCAATAACATTTCTGCTCTTGTATATAAATACTTGCTACAAAATAAAATCCTTGCATTTGCCTTGATAAAATCCCATGGAGGATGAAATGCATCAGTTCTGTGTTAAGAATAAGTTTTCCTTCTGTCTTTTTACAGATATACTCTATCTGAAATTATTACACTAATGATATCACAATTGTGCCAACATAATCTAACCCAGTCATAGAGAGAAAATAAGAGAAATTGTTGATTTCTATGGGATTACAAAAAATGGAATTATAAAAATAATTTATTATCCACGCCTTAAAAAAAACAAAACAAACAATGAGTTATTGTTTAAATTCAGTTTTGTTTATTGTTGTAGTGTTTTTTTTATTTTTTTTACAACAAAAATACAACTTCTTCAATGAACACATTAACAGAGTTAATAATGTTGATAGTAAATTTAAAAAGAAATATATATTTGGTTGTAAAGATATAATACTCTATTTAGGAACTTAAGACCCTATTAATGCAAATTTTAAATTATGCTTGGTTCCAAAATATAAACTTTGCTCAATCAGGAATTTTATTAATCTTTTTATTGTAATTTGAAAACCAGAGTCACAGGATTTATGTTACCTCAAAATTTTTAAATATTTCTAGTAATTTTGGTGAATAGCAATGGTGTCTTCATCTAGCTAGCTAATGTCTTACAATTATGTGGGAGGTATTTCTGCCCCACCCTGTATTATGAAGTGGGTGCCGAAATGTTATTCGTCAGATCAAAAAGGGAACCCCCAACTTTTACTGATGTTTGATCAGATTTTGAGAGTGGATCAAGCAGATAATTTTCCAACAACTGCTCATATTATTTACAAATTCATGAAACTGAACTTTTCCTGAATGAAAATTAATTCAGAAAGTTAAAATGTAAAACATAAAATTTCCTTTGAGCATACAAAGAACATTTGAATTATAGGATTTCAATAAATAAACATGCTTTTTTATGTTTCTATCAATATTTGGTGAATTTGAATAAAATTGTTGGGGGGTTACTACATGTGTTATTCACATTTTCTCCCCTTGCAGCAGGTGATTTCTAAAAAAAAAAAAAGCCATTCATTCTTCCTTCAGTGATTTTTTTGTCTAACAAAAAATCACAAGTGATAGAGCATAGAGCACCCAGTGAGAATCGAACTTACGTCAGTATTTGTTAATTATCTGCAAGGGCTTTCTTCATAAGGTGATTGATTAATTAATTAATTTGTTTGTTTTTACGGCGTATCAACCGTTGGTTTGTGAGTTTTAACCGAAACATTTCGGATTTTAGGAGGTTGTTTATTTTCCAGTACCCAGTTTCCAATCGGTCCTCCATTTATTTTTAAAGTACTGATCGGCTTCAATAAAACATTGCACTCACTTCATTTGGTATTTTTAAAATTTAAAGCCTAGCTGTTGGTCATCATACCCTTGGTTTGAGAATAAACTTTTTTGTAGTGGTGGGTGTGCGAGGAAAGGGTCAATCAGAATAATGCATTTTTTATTATTTTATTTTTGAAAATACGATAAAAATATTTTTAAGTCTTAAACATTAACAACTACTACGAACAATGTTCATAATGCCTATCAATAAAAATGTAAATCTAATTTTTTTTTTTTTTAGTAGAGGGAGGGGGGCTTCTGTTTTTTGCAGTTTGTGATGGTCATATCAAGCTAAGCATTAACTTTGAGATATTTTATTTCAAAATCGTAATTTCCAATGAAACCGAAATGTCTTAACACGTGGGAAAGAAGAGCTACAAAAAAAAAAAAAAAAAATGTTATGTCGGTTTATTGTTTTAGTAGTTTTTTATGATTATGCCATTCTTGAAAGCGTGTTGTTAAATTAAAACAATAATTAATTTGCAAATATTCTCCACTTTATAATTAATTAATGTATTAATACATTTAGAGATATTTTTACTGATAAAAAAAAAAAAAAATCATTGAGAAAAAAAGTAATCTGGTTAAAAAAAGTTAAACATGGTGTCTAAGCGTTTTTATTTTGCACACCAAAAAGGGAATTTCGCAAAATAACAAATACCGCTAAAAATGTGTTTTAACAAAGACTGTTAATGTCTTTTTAAAACTGAAAGGAAAAAAAAAAACTATAAGAAAATTTATTATTTCATCATACATTGGTTTTTGACACTCATGAAAATAAAAATATAAAGACTGTTGATAAAAAAATCAAAACAAGAAACAAAAAGCAGACCTTCAAGCTGAAATAATTAGGTACGATCGCTAAAAAAACGCAATAGAAATATTTTTAAACAACTTGTAAATAGTTTATCATTGAAACTTTTTTAAAATGTCAACTATATTTTATAATCGATACCATAACGTAAAAAAAAATAAAAGATAAAAACATTGCTACAAAGTGCAACGTGTTTTTAATCAAATTCACACCTGTTTTCACCTCACGATATAACAATTTTGCCAAAGATATCAAATACAGGTTTATAATAAAAAAAAAAAACTCAGTTTAATTGATAGCGCATTAATTCAAAAATCTATTTTAACAAATATTTTACTGAAAACCAAGACAATACAAAAAACAGGTAAAACTGAATGAATAATAGACTTTTTTTTTTTAGTTTTTAGTCAACAAAGGTAAAGTTACTTTTTTTAGCTACTAGTCCTAGTTACTGGTCGTTATATTCAACGGAATTAGATATGTACTAAAAATTAAATGAATCCATCCACATCAAATAAAATAAATTTCTTTTTTTGAAAGTGTCAAAACGACAAGTGTTGTCTAGCAGTGTTTGTTCTCGGTTTCAACATAAAATATTTAAAACAGTTGAAAGATCGCAATAACAACAATGGAAACAGAAAATAAAATTATAAATAAATAAGCTTCACAAATCAAGTACATTTTTTTTCTTTAAAAACAAAAAATACCTTTCTTTATTTTCCACATGGGTTCCCTTTCATTTGGCGCCACATCCTCACGTATCCCTTGCGGACTGGATCTAGCACTTGCAGCAGATCCCATACTATCAGGACTATCACTCCCAGAACTAGGAGACTTTTTAGTACTGTCGGGGGCCGCTGGATCAACCTTTAAATTAGACATTTCTCCTCTCGATTTCTTTGCGTGAAGGACCTTGGTGGACGGTTCCCAGGTACGAAATGACCTGATCGGGTTGAAGGTTGTATTAAACTTAGACAAAGATATATGCAGTCCGGAAAGCAAGCCAATCTTACATTGGTCTTTGCGTATAAATCCTGTTGCCTGAACACTTTCGCCCTTACCGCCAATTGAAATATTATTATTAACACCACTACTACCACTACTTCTAGGAGAATAAACTGACAAGCCTGTTAAGTTGACCTTCTTGTTCGTGCCAAGAAAAAGAGTGGTAAACTTGAATGTATCTGCAGATATCCCGTGCAAATTCGGAGAACTGGCCAAAATGTTGCTATGAAAAACAACAGGTGACAATGTTGTCAAATATAATTTCGAGGCCAAGTTTGGTCGTCCTCGACAAACTTGTGACCAAGTACCACGACGCAAACTCAGCGCCATCCTTCGGTTATCTCCCTTGATACGGTATTAGGTGATCAACTTTTTTTTCCGCCTCGATTTATTAGTGTGTAAGGAAAATCTTTGGATTATCTGTAATTTAATCAGCATGAAAATAAGTTTTCAAATAATAATAATAATGATATTTTTAAATACCAAAGATGAACCGGTGAAATATTATTAAAACAGAAGGAAAAAGAATTTAAGATTAGTTTATGTAAGAAAGACGACAAGCATGATTTTAAGAGAGCTAAGCACATGAACCGAAGAATAAAATTTCAATATAACTTAGGCTTTTCAGGAGGTTATGTTTGGAATAAATCATTTTTTTTTTATCTTTAAAGTTTAATTTTTTTCTAAACTATGTAATTCAAAGAACTTTCACTTGTAATTGTACTATAAATTTAATGTGAAAATATTTGCAAATAAGTGGTTGTAAAAAAAAAAAAATCTATACTTCTTCAAATCAATTAATTCCTTCTATGTCATGTCACTTAATAAATTTTATCTTTTTGTTATCTCTCTCTCTTAAACCCTGTTCTGCCAAGCTCACTACATTATTTGCCTATCATTTTTGCCCTCAATCTGTCCTGTGAGTATCAAAATTCCCAAGCTCTTTATTCATTGTGTGCCTTAGAAATTTCAACTGTCTTTTTCTGATGTTCATACACGTCCCTTTTTTTCCATTTTCTCTAAAACTTTGTTGTTGCTCACATGTTCAGTTCATGATATTCTCTGTATTCTTCTGTAGAACTATATTTCTGTTGCTTCAAGTTTCTTCATCTGTGAAGAGATTATCCAGCATTCACTGCCATATGGGAGGATTGAATTACAAAATCTACTTCTATGCTAATTAATTTACAAGGACTCACAAACAGCTGGTTACAAAAAGTATCTGACAGTAACTTGCAGTGAATAGGATATCACTTTACATAAATCATACTAGGGATGGAGTTTGTGATATTTAAAAAAAATTTTGGCAAATTTGGACCTTCATGTCCGAAAAAAAAAAAAAAAAAAACAACAGAGTGTCAAAAGTTTCCCTTAACACTGCTATTATTTTAATTACCTTCACTCTCTCGGTAATGTTTAATTTTAAAAAGTGATGATTTAGAATTTTAATAAAAAATAAACATATGAAAATGAATTTATACACTTTGTTGTTGAGAATTGACAACAAAATCTATTTATTAGATTGTTTATTGGAATGGTTGGCAAATCATTGGCTAATTGACAATAAATTCAAACTTTATAAAATAGTAAATAAGGATTTCCTTATAGTTCATTCACATATTTAAATTACTAAATGTCTATAAATTTGTGAATAAAAATGTTTTTTGTATTTATAGCTTTATGAACTGTAAAATGACAAACATCACTTTGCATTAATTTTAATTGTATTAGTTTTTAGAATGTTGTAAATATAAAATTATTTTTGTAAATAAACAATCTAATAAGTAAATAGTGTTTAATATTTTTTGTTGCAAATTATCAAGATCAAAAAAAATGTATAAACTCACTTTCATCCTGTGTTTAGGTTTTATTTCAATTCTAATCATTGCTTTTTAAAACAATAAACTTGAAAGTAAAGGTAGTTAAAATAAAAGCAGTATTAAAAGAAAACCATCCTTTTGACATTCTGTTTGTTTGTGGGCATGGGAGCTCAAGTTTGTCAAAAAAATTGTTTTTTTTTGTTTTTTTTATTGTTGCTCCTATCAAATATCTATCTTAAATACTACAGAGAATTAGATACAAAATACACAGAAATCCCCCTTCAGTTTGTTAACTACAGTGTAACCCGGATATAAGAGAGATTTTCTCTGGTCCCAAATTAGAGCCTGTGTTAATGTATATAAAACAGACCAAACCCGGATATAAGAGAAACCCGGATATAAGAGACATCTTCTCCGGTCCCCGACAACTCTCTTATATCCGGGTTACACTGTATTATTTCTGCAACAATTAGATTGTGAAGGTTCTAAATGATAATACATTTTTGGTTGTAAATATAATTATTGCATTATGCTGGAATAGAAATTGCAATTAAATTCCATACCAGACTGACAAAGGAAACCAAATGCACCAGAGGGTCGTTCTGTGGTCAGTCCCAATCATTGAATGCAGAAGTACTGCATGTCCATAATGTCCATGTGAAATTTAAAATATTTGTAGCTTTATAACTATACACGATAGAAACAATCTATAAAAAGAATAAGAAAGAAGTATTTAAATTTATTATTGGGATTGTTAATTTTCAACACATCCAACATCATTATACATACAAAGCGTAATATGATTCTGTAATTCTTGAAAAATATTTTGCAGGTGATTTTCAGCAATACCGTCAATCACATTGATTATCTTAGTTTGTAATTCCTCTAAGGATCAAGGTTTAGTTGGATAAACATGTTAAGGAATTTTTCATATAGAAACGGCCTCACTCGCAGGGCAAAATGACAAGGTGCAACATCTTCTTGAAACACCGTATCTTCTATCAGTTCTAATTGATTAAGTTTAGGAATAAAGTAATTTTGCAGCATTTCTAAGTAGCAATCACAAGAATATGCCTCTCAAAAATTCTGAAAAAAAAAAAAAAAAAAATTTTGAAGTTTCAAGAAATTAAAAAAATAATAGGTAAAGTGAATAAAATTTTTTTTTCCAAAAACAAGGAAAAAGTAGACATATCAAGCTTTCTTATCCTTTTTACAGATTGTTTTTATATCATGTATAGTTACAAAGCTACAAGTATTTTAAATTGCACACAGAATTTACGGAGACCCTGTATGTGACCTTAAGCCTGCATTCAGTATTTCAAATATGAAAATTAGAATGTTGGACAGATGGATATATAAACAATAGAACCAGGCAGTCTCTTACACACTACAAAAGTAGGCAAAGCAACAGTAATGAGGCAAAAATTTGCAAAATAAGTATGGTGTTAACATACAAAAAGCATAGACAAGTGACTGCAACATTCTAGCTTCAAAACAAGAAAGAACAAGAATATAGTGAATGAGACTGAGAAGTGGTCTATCTTATTGGATAGGAAGAAATCCCAGTATGCATCTACTTCAATTTGTCTATAAATTTGGGGAGAGGGATGCTTATGCAGTCATTCCAATACAGATTGGAACCAACAAAGGCCTAGCTTCTCAAGAAGCGAGTCTGACCTAACCATATCCTCAGTGTACCCACTACACATCCAGTGTATCATAGCCCTGTCATTCTGCCATCAACAGGGCCCATGTCTTGCTGGCATGCAGCATGGTCCTGTGAGCCCAGGTGTTGTATACACAACCTCTACAGACAGAGATTGCACAGCATTTACTGCCATATAAGAGGACAAAATCTACTTCTAAGCTAATTTACAAGAACTTGCAAACACCATCTGATAATAACTTGCAGGGATTATGGCATCTCTTCATATAAATCATAATAGGGATCCTGTACTATGGTAACAGAATTTTAATTTTATTTCTTCTTGTCTGCACACTTTTACTTTAGATACATTTTGAGTTAGTCACTATTTTGACCACTTTCTCTTTAGCCCTTAGAAAATACCAAAAAACTTTATCTTCAGATTTTTGATTGGCATAAGGCATTTATCTGACTAACGTGTATCAAGCAAAAACAGTGAAACAATGCTATCATTAGTAGGTAGAATTTGGAGGATAGAAAAAGTGGGAACAGTGTACCTTAAGCTTGTCATTTATTCTGGCATTTCTGGCCCTTCTTAAGGCTTAAAGAGGAAGTGGTCAAAATTGTAACTAACCTAAAATGTACCTATACTAAAAGGAAGTGACTAAGGAGAAATAAAAATACTAAAATGCTGTATTGTGGTAACAGAAGATGAATATTAGGAAGAATTCCTGGAAAAGTTTTTGTGCCTACAATAAAATGATGGTTTTCTCTTGACAGTGCTATTATTTTGTATCACTTTCACTCCCTCGGCAAGGTTTATTGTTTTAAAAAGCGATAATTAGAATTTTAATAAAACCCAAACATATGAAAGTGAATTAATACACTTTTTTCGTTGAGAATTTACAACAAATGTATTAAACACTATTTATTTATTTCATTGTTTATTTACAAGAATAATTTTATATTTACAACATTCTAAAAATGCAAATCATTTAACAATTTATAAAGAATTAAATATGAAAATTTTTATTCATATATTTATATAAATTTACTGAATGAGGAAAATATTTGTGAACCAACTATAATGAAATCTTTATTATTTACCACATCATGAAGTTTGAATCGATTGGCAATTCACCGATATTTTGCCAACCATTCCAAAGAACACATTTCATTGAAAATCTTGTAGGATTTTGTAAATTTTTAATAAAAAGATTCTTTTCAAATTTATTTCTTTATAAAATGACAAATAATAAATATCGCATCATACATGATTCACATATTTTTATAGTCTTGTAAAGAAACATTACCAAGAAAGTAGTTTAAAGTAATAGCAATCTTATCAGAAAAATTGTCCTTTTGACACACACCTTTTTTTTTCAGATACAAAGTTTAAACATTGCAGAGTTCCTCTTGTGGAAGTGATATGCATTTTTCTCAACTGATTGTCTACATTTACTTTATAAGCACTGAACAACCAAATTGCTTCTCATATTATAATCTGTTATGTTTGACAGTAGACTGCAAGCAGTTCATACAAAATTCGGCAATGTTTAACATTTGTGTCTGCAAAAAAAGGTTTGTCAAATGGACGATTATTCTATTGACACTGCTATTACACTGTTGTTTTTACTTCCTTGACAATGTTTATTGTTTCAAAAAGTGATAATTAGAATTTAAATAAAACCAAAACACCTGAAAGTGGATTTATACATTTTCTTTATTCTTGAGAATTGACCAAAAATATTAAAGTCTTTATTAGATTACTTTTTTACAAGAATAATTTTATATTTACAAGATTATAAAAATATGTGAACCAACTAAAATGAAATAGTTATTATTTACCATTTTATAAAGAAATA